GGATATAGCACAATCTAGCACGCTACAGACTAGGCTTCGCGAGAGATATAACACAATCTAGTGCGCTATGAACTGGGCGACGCGAGGTCGAAACTATTCAACTCCCCAACGCACTGTACACCCAAAAAGTCTAAAAATACAATACATTAGCCTACCTTGGCATCACGGGACCTTAAATTACTTGTTAGAAATTTCCGGGGCCTTACAGAAAAATACTCGTCGCCGCCATCACGACCTTCAGTGCCCTCGCTAACTTTATACTCAACGTTGTCGCCACCCTGACCACCAATGCACTCACCATCTCGACCCCCCTCGCCATCGCCACCGTTGCCCTCAAGATAAGCGGTATCATACCTAGCGTTCTCGTCAAGCTGGTCTACACCCTCGTCCCCCTCCTTCTCATCGGCCTCAGGCGTAATAGGATCATACCCATAAGCGACTTGAGCTTCACGAGCCTTAACACGAACATCTTCGAGGGCAGCCTCAGAAACGGATCCCGCCGCATGCAAATCTCGAAAGACATCTAACCAGACCTTGACATGAATCCATTACTCATATAACTCCCAAGGAACATTGGGAAAATCTGAAGTGCAAAAAAGGATGGTTGTGCAAGTAATTGGGCCTTCTTGGCCTCCAAAGAGGCCACTCGATCATGAAGAATGGAGTTATCTTTCTCTAGCTCTCTGATCCTCTCCTCGAGTCGATCTTCCTTATCTCTCGCCATTGAATGATCGTTCTCCCGCTCGGCTCGGAGAGTCCTATTCACCAACTCAAGCATCTCCGTATTTCTCTGAGAATCCAAACGAGAGGACTCCACCTTTTCAATTTCCTTTTGATTCTCAGCGATCTAGCTATTGAGGGCCTCCAGCGGAAGTCAACACTCTTCTAACTGCCCCCGTAACTTGACCGATTGAGTTTGAAGGACACTGCATTGGGCCTCCATGCCCCTGCTGACTTCAAGCTCCTCTTCCCTACTCCTCAACGTCCCCTCAAGGATGCTACATTTCTCGATGGGCTTCACCAACTCATCATCTTTCTTCTTCAACTCGTTCCGAAGGGCCTGCATATCGTTGCCTTGGCGAAATCGCCTATGGAGATCTCGATACTTGCCACGATACTCAAAATGCTTATTTTTCAATTTCACAAAGATCTCGTTATGCTTCTTCTCCCTTCGAACGCTCTTTATCTCCAAAATCACCGTCTACAATCATAAAAAGGAAAGAGAAGAAAGAAGTCGGAACCAAAGATGCCCTAAAAAATTAAAAGAGAAGAGGTTGAAGCACAAACACTCACCCTAAGAGCAAGGCCAGCAATGCTCCTCGACAAAGCACCATCGTCTATCTCTTTAAGGGTCTTACCCTCAATCTCGGAACAGAGAGGGCCGAGGACAGGTCACTATCCATGGGGATCACGATAGTCCTCGTAGACCCTTCCAACCTTATCTCAAGCTGGGTAAGCCCTTCATCTATCATCCTCAGGTTGTCCGCATCAACGTCAGAACCTGACTCATCACCCTCCTCAGAGATGCCTTTACCCCCCTCATTGGCTGACAAGGAGGTATCTGCAGCTGTTCGAGAGATCGATGCCTCCTCTTGCCTCAAAGTGTCAAGGATATCAGCAGTCGTCCTTTCTGTCTCCATCATCGCAGAAGGAAAAGAAACATCCACATCGGCTCCCATCGACCTCGGAACCTCAAAACGCGGCTCAATATCATCTCCCACGAGGATGGTCGCCGTCTCATGCAGTGAAAAGTCACCTTCCATCGCATCAATGGCCCGTGTGACTCCGTCACCAACATCCACGGAACTCCTCTTTCAAGGCAGGAGATTTCCATTACTAGGGAAAGGTTCGTTGTCCTCGTCGATGAGAGAATATAGGGGAGAAGACGAAGTCTCCATGGCCAAAGTGGGAACAAATTCGGACGCAACAACAGAGGGAACTGGAACAAAGTTAGGATCAACGGCGGTCAAAACATGAGCAGAAGATGAGGACGTAGTAGCCTTCCTCTTCCGAAACGAGGGCGCGAGAGCTCTCGACTCCTCGTAGACCCCCTGGTTGAAGCTAAGAAAAAATATGAAAAGGAAAAATCAGCAAAGGAAAACAAAGAAAAAATGAAAAAAAAAAATTAAGACACTGATGGTAAAAAGGAAATTACCAGTCGAAGGGAGAGCGAGCTCGAACTTCTTGAAAAAACTTGGCCATTCACGAATCCCTACGATGTGAAGGAGGAGCCGCTCGACCCAGTCATAAATATGAGCATCCAAAGAAGGAGGCAAGGTCTTGGCTACAAAAGAAGAAGGCAAGAAGTCAAAATTCAGGACCAAACACGAGAAAGCGACCAAAGTACTTTCGAGTATAGTTCTAAGCCTCGGTAAAGTCGTCGACATTGGTCATAACATCCTCGGTCTTGACATAAAAGAAGTTGAACCAGAATTGACGACTGGCCTTGTCGTCCATCTTCACCACCAGGAATTTTCCCCCTCAGTGGCGAAGGTTCAATATCGCCCCCCTATAAAAGCTAGGAGCGAACAGATGGATTAAATGCCGCAGTGTCAATTCGACCCTTGCTAGCTCAACAAATTTGGTGAGCATCTTTATGGCTTTATAGACGTATGGCGCGAGCTGAATAGGGCAAATGCCGTAATGACGACAGAACTCCTCCACCGACGGAAGGAGGGAGAAAGAGTGGCCGACTTGGAAGGGGTAGGCATAAATGGCGCAATACCCAGAACGATGGGCTTGTACCGTATCCCACCCGGCTAGGATGAACTCGATATGCTTGGGAAGGACATATTTAGCTTTTAGCTCCGCCAATTCCTTCACCGTCATCACTGACCGAAAGGCTCCAGGTTCTGCCTCTAGTGATTTGGTGAAATCGGATCTGGAATCAGGGTTGCGGGGGATTATCACCTCCACCGACGTGAAAGTTCCATCCTCAACGGTGGTAGGAACACTCTCCTTATGGGAGGGGAACACCACTGCCAAGGGTGTAATACGACTCCCCTTGCCAACCTCAGAAGGTACGTTAGACATGATTCGATGTAAAGAAGAAGAATAACAAGCAAACGGGAATGAGCAACGATGTAAGGCGCTGAAATAGGAAGTGGAAAGGGTTATGCAGAAAAGATGAAGGAGAGGCTATTACAAAAAGAGAAGGAAGAGTTTGGAAAAAGTTTCAAAATCAACAAACCTTCCCCTATTTATAAGGTTTGAGAGGCACCAAAATTGAAACGACGGGTCATGATTAGCACAGATATCAAAACGACAGAGCCAATCAAGGGTTACACCTAAATCGATGTAGTGTGTTGGGAAACGACGTTATTATGACGCATGATGTCATGACGTCACTTCTCTTGGACCAGATAGCTCCAATAGACTTCACGGGTAATTCAAAGAATTCAAAATATGCGGATCACAGAAGTCCACGTAGCCTTGTCTCCACGACCACGACCTCACCTAACTCTATAAAATCGTATCATGAATGACATTGTTCACTCACCGACCTCGTCCGCGGGAACGACTTCGATAAGCGGAAGGACTAACTGTATGGGTCAAAATCCATCTTTAGTCGAAATGGTATTAGTAAAACATTCCTGGGATGCCACGCGTCAAAGTAATCTAATTATCAGTGAAGGCCGCAGTCGAAGAGTCAGTAAGACTGAAGTCGAGGGGTTGTCATCTAGGCCGAGGTTGAACACCCTTAAAAGAGCTGTAACAATTAGTTTCGAGATAGGATACAAAAGAGAATATTCTAGTGAATATTTTCTGTACTTGTACTGTTAAGGTTTTTAGGAACATGTTCCCTATAAATAGAAAGAGACACAATGATAGGGGACATGTGATATTTATTTGCAAAAATACTCTTTGACTTTAGAGCGAGAATGTGACTTCATTGCAAGTATACAAATATCACATTTTCACTAAGATTCTTGTCTACACTTTTTCACCAGATCCGAGAATAACTCAGATATTCAAAGGATTGTCCGTCATTTATCATTGTCAGAAAGAACATTCACTGATTTCATCATTTCTTGGGTGACTCATTCATTCTATTTACTTAAATGCCATTTATTGTTATTCATCAATATTTAATGCTACGTTATTGCCTTTGATTTCTTGAATATTGACTGTATCGTTGTTGTCAAGGTATACTTACGTAGTATTTATTGCACTTTTAAGAACTCCATCTTTGAGATATTATTGTTAACTAAGATTAACCCTCATTATATATAAATTTAATTAGTTGAACCAAGATCTATATTTTTTGGTCAAACAAATCTAAGATTTATCTTACAAAGGGCTAAGGCATCTCATTTAAGTAATATTTCAGTTTCCAGCGAGAAAAACAGTACGAGGAGTGCAAAGAAAGTTGAAAGTTTATGGTAAATAGCCATAACATGGTAAGCTTTCTTTGGTGGGCAACCTGTTTACCAAGTAATAATACTACTTACATGCAAGAGAAAGGAAATACATTGGCTCGATGAATGATTTAATTTGTATATATTGATAGTACAAGAAGATTTTACACTACCCGTAAATTTTAACCAGTTATAACATTTTATTTACTTTATTCCTTAGATTACCAAATTAAAATTATTACAGTTTATACTACTCACCTATTGTTATAAGTCATCAAGTTATGATGGCTCACAAAAGTTAAATTCATAATAACTTTGTAAACAAAGGTGTAATTCCCACAAAACTCAGCAGAAAAAAGAAATTAAGGTGAAGTTACCTTTAAACGTAAAGTTGAAGTCACCTTTACCCGTAATTATAACATGAATAGTACCAACATGACTTAGAGAGTTGCATCTTCAACAAATTATAATAACACAACAAATAATTGGTATACAACTTTCCACAAAGAGACATGATCAACAAGTTCACGCCCCTTGGTCTCGAGTAAAAAGAGCAGAGCACTTACTGCTGATAAAATTAAAACCACTTCAAATAATATAATTGCAGCCATCTGGGGCAACCTCTAACCGACTGAGACCAAATTTAAATAACTTAAACTATAATGATAGAAAAATCTCAACAACAATCGCGAGAAACAAATCCTGTATCGGGATCACCATTCCTAGGAGTAATAGAAGCATCACACAAACTAGATGTCCCGTTGGGATCATCATTCCTAGTTGTAGTAGAGTAAATTAGCAACATCCCAAAGCTAGCCAAATAATTACAAATATCTTCCGATAAGTTTTTAACACAAAATGATCCTTAGCTTATCTGCTAAGGAAGCTGCCTTAGTACTGCACGATGGATTTGCAAAATGGTTGGTTCCAATCCAGCTTGGCTACCTTGATCCTTCCTTCGCCAAAATATGTGCCATTTTGTTTCCTGCCCTATGTTTGTACTGGATTATCCAACTGTGCAATAACAACCTGCAATCATATATGATATAACAATAAATAGGAGAAACGTTTTCTAATAGTGATAGAGCCTGAGTGGAGTCCGTTTCTATCTCCAATGGGAACAGCTTGTGGTGCAGTGCAAGCAACAAACCAAACTTGATAGCAAGTAGTTCTTCACGAGTGTGATTCAGAACATTCATACCATAAGAGAATCCCCCATCAGTGTTTAACTTAACAGAGATGGTATTAATATTCCTGGGATTCGTTGGCCTGATTGTCAAAAGGTTAAATTCATTTATGCGCATACAAACAAAGCTATGTGAAGGATCATTGGTAACATAATTATTGTGATTTCTTTTGGTCCAAAGGTTCCAAAGGCTAAATGCATAGAAATCCTCCCAGATGAAGATATTACAAAAAACGTTGTGGTTTTTACTTCTCACCACATCAAGCCAATGTTTAATTTACAAACAGCTCCTAGTCTCCTAAGAGACTTTACAAGCTAATTAACTACGTGCACAAAAATGCGGTTTCCTAATTCATAATTAATGCGATACTTTTTTTTTTTTTTTTTTGAAACCTTCAAAACATACATTTATGCCGTGCAGTTTCATAAGTTTTAGAATTCTTACATGTTTTCCCACTATTCTGCATGAATCATGACGTATATAAATTAAAATCACATGTTGGAACTATGTGTAGACAAGAAAAAAGTTGATTAAGATACGGAATAATAGAAAACTCTGTGTAGTCAAATTTTGGTATTTTATGCCAATTTGCTTTCAATACTAAGTAAATTTTAATCAAATAATGTCACATAAAATGATATGGAATACATATATCTTATAAAAAAAGGAAAAGAAGAGGGATCATAATATAATGAAAAATAAAAAAGGAGAATTCAAAGGAAGCAAACCTCGGATAGATGAACCTGACGGATGTATGAGGCCCAAAATGGGACGAACTCTTTGCGATCCTGCAAAACATCAGCGCCAGCCGGCAAAATAGTAAGATCTAAGTGTCCAAAATGATTGCGTGACGGATCAAACACACAAGAACCGGCCAAACGTCGTCCTCCTCCTCCTCCTCCTCATCTGGGAATCAACTCCTTTACGCCTCCATCCGGAACAATTGGCCACTTTATACCCGACGTCACACAAACTTTTTTTTCTGGCCTCTTCTCGGGTTTCCCTCCTCCTCCTCCCACACAAGGTTCTCTTTGCAACTTTTAAAAACCCTCAGGAACTTGATTTTGCTTCTTCACGTCTGAAAACGGTTCCCGTCCTGCTGTCTCTAAAGGTTCTCTTTGCCTCTTCTTCGAGGATGACGGTGTCAATTCAATCATTTCTCAGTTGATGATTGAAGCGATGGGTAACCCCTCCTTTTGTTTTTTTGTAGAATGGAACCGTCTAGCAAGAAAGGAAAAACATATGCTTACAAGGTTTTAAATAAAAAAGATATACTCCCTGTGTTTCAATTTATTTCGTTTACAGTCAAATAAGTTCACATCAACTAAAATCAAGGAAGTGGAGTATAATATAATGCTTTTAGCAATATTACCAAAATAACCTACATTAGCCATAAAACATTGTAGATCTTACGGTTACTAATCTATTGTTACAAAATTATAAACTCTTAGGCCTATTTGTTTTTTTTTTTTAAAGATTAAAACGTCTGAATTTAAATACACGTATGAATAACAAGATGTTAAGACATTTGAATTTGAATACACATCTGAATGTTAAGATGTGTATTAAGATATAAATACTAAATGATTAAGACTGTTTGATTTTTAACATCTGAATGTATAAAATTTACGTTTATTTGAAAATTAATAAACATAAAATTCAAATAAAATACTAATTAATCTAATATTCCATTAGCTTTTTAAAATATGATAGTTGTTGGTGGTGATGGCTAACGGTAGTGCTTGTGAATGCCGACTAAAAGCGGTGGTTGGTGGTAGATTTGGTTGATGGTGGTAGTTTAGGGTAGTAACTAGTGGTAGCTATTATGATTGAGAATGGTGCTGGTGGGTAGTGATAGTTAATAATGGCGGGTGGTGGTGGTGGTGGTTGTGATTANTAGTGATGATTGGTAGTGATAGCTATTGTGATTGAGGATGGTGGTGGTGGGTGGTGATAGTTAATAATGGCGGGTGGTGGTAGTGGTAGTTGTGATTAAGGAAGATGGTGGTGGGTGGTGGTAGTTTATAATGATGGGCAGTGCCAGCTATGGTTGTTGATGGTGATGGGGTGATTAGTTGTGTAGTTAAGGTGGATGAGTGTTGGTTGTCGTTGAGAATGATGGTGGTGGGAGTGGTGGAGATGGTGGGCGGTGGTAGTCGACAATGATGGCGGCTATGATTGAGGATGATGGTGGTGGTGGTTGAGTATGGTGGTGATGGGTGGCATGGTGGTAGTTGATAATGGTAGGCGATGGCAGCAGTTAATAATGAATATGGATGATAGCATCTTAATGAAATTAAGTTTCTGTTATAGATCTTAATGATACAAACCTATTTAGACCCATTAAGTGGTTGTGAAGTAAAAAGAACAAACACACTTAATAATTAAGATCTGCATAATTAAGATTCAGACTTTAAAAAAAAATTCACTTAATGTCTGAGATCTGAATGATTAAGATTCAGACTTTCATTAAGTGCAAACAAATGAGGCCTTAGTCTAATTAATGTTTGAACGTGATGCTATTAAGCTTATACCTAGTTGTCTCGTGTTGCATTCTCTTTATGTTGAAAGGGATGAGTATGAGAGTGTAACTAAATTTGTTATAAGTTCTCCCGGTTTCGAAAAAAGCTTAAAGTTACTATTCCCTCCGGTCCACAATACTTTTTTATTTTGGTCCAAAATAAATGTTCATTTATATAATCAAGAAAAAATTCAATTTATTTTTTCAAAATTATCCTTATGTACGTATCCCTAAAAAGTTTTTTACTCCTCATTACTCCTCACATTAACTATGCTATAACATTTAATTAAGGATAATTTAGTCATACTACCTATTTTTGTCTAGAATTTTGTATTTCCTTAATGGGTGTGCCCAAAGCAAATTGATTACTTGTTGTGGATCGGAGGGAGTATTTATGATGATGGATCCTTTGACAATAGAAGTGATAAGGAAAAAAGTGATATGTGTTCGGAGATAAATACACCTAAACTTGAGAATCTAAATTTGATGGATGATGTTTCTGAGACATATTCTACAGTGGATGTATCCTCCTTAGTTCGAGCAAATGTCAATCTTAAAATTCCAATGCGACTGTGAGATGAAAAGAAAGATCAGAGAGTCCACTCTTTTGCCAGATTGATGCAAATTTATATATTGCAGTTCCAAGTATCGCAGTACGCCACCAAAAAAAATTTTCTTTATTGCTTACTAAGCATTATTTTTCCTCCAATAATGGTTGTGCTTAACTCTGTCCATCAACGCTTAGGCAGGAAATGGAATTTGAATTCTGATGCTAACATTCTCTTTATCTAATTCCTATTTGTAGTCATGTTTTTAATGTTGTTATCCTCTGATTATTTGTTTTTAACTTGTTTGATTTTGTCATTTGTGCATAATGATCTATCTATTTCTGATGTGCTGCCATTATTCAATTTCTATTCCGTTAAATATAATCTTTTATAAGTTAAAATATATAGAGCATTAACATATAATTTCAATCAGTGGATTATTGCTCTGATACATGTTATGGAGTATTAAAACTTAAATACAAGAGAATAGGATTTAATTCAAGAGAATAGTAATACAACTATATTAGCGTATTCTCTAAGTACCACTTTTATTTTGGTAAGGGGTTGACTCGTTCTTGATGCAATTCTCATACACCTTTATCTTTAACAAATCAAAATAAGAGGTAATTATGCCATTTGTATAGAGAGATGTAGTACATTGTTGATTGGATGATGATATTATGTTGAATATGAGATTTGAAGGTTTCGTAAATAGAATTGCAATTTTCATCTTCTAATTGCTAAATGTGTGACTTGTTCCTCTACATCTAAAGATTATATGAAATACTTGTAGCACTAGTTTTACACAAAGTTGACGATATGTGCATACGGATGAGTGAGCATTATGAATTATTGACATTATTCAGCTAACTTATTGAATATTTTCGGAGGTGCGATTAAGATAGATAGGAGACAATAAAAAGTTGCGGTGGATTTGGATTACTACAATATTATCAAATACTCATTTGAGGTGCACTTAAGTCTTGAAGCTCAAAAAAGTTCAGGGAGGGCGTTTCGCCTCGCTTAAATTGTTATCCATGTATTCTATCTTGAATAGAGCAGTACTAAACAGTAAATATAATCGAATAAGAGATATATTAGATGTTAATGAAAACTCTATGAAGGAATTTGTTACTTTTTTCTTGTATTGTAAACATATTTGTATTCTTTTTTCATTGTGACTTTTTTTACTAAAGCTCATACTTTAGCTGTGTTTTACGTTTAAAGCCCCAATAGATCTGGATTGCTTCTTAAAGCTTTTCAGCTTTCACAAGAATGGATTAATATTGATATTATTGTATATGTTGAATATTGAAATTAGTTATCTAATTTTGAATTTGATCATACTAAATTCATGTATGTTTGTTTGTCATTTTTTTTGCTCTCATGATAACATCATTAATTGGAGCGAACCTTCTCATGTGCCTCGATGCGTCTATTTATGTCTCAAAGCCATTTCTATTGACGTATTTCGGGATCGTCAATATGAGCTTTCTGTGCTTTGCTACATTCTTGAGAAAGTTGAAGTTTTGCAAATTGTGAAATAGCATTTTTCTACTAATAAGACTCAGACAAAGTTCCAAGTGCTACAATAAATAGCTGGATTGCCAAGGAAGTCTCAGTCCCTACATATTTAGTTATGAGCTTATCTTAACTGTTCGATTATGTTCAATGAAAGAGCTAGTACTTTACAGCATCAGCAAAGTTAAAGAGACAACGGATGTGGTTAAAACAACAAAAAGCAGATTGACTGGAAAACAGTAATAAATTTCTTTTAAAAAAAACTGAAATAAAGAAAATTCCATTGCACTGTACTTTGCTTCCAGCGTTCATAATTAGGAGAGAACATGCACAACTATCTTTATTTCGAAGACGATGACTTTCCCTGCATAATGCTATTGCTTCAAGTTTGCAGAGATTCTTCTACCTAAGCTCCATCCTAAACCTTCATTCTGTGATCATTTTCACAAATCAATACTAGCACTGACAATGTACGAATACGATTCTGAACTTTGGAAGCCATTTGGCTCAATCAGCAACATGAACAATTTTATGTCAACCCAGTTGTTTCCTTGCCACTAGCGTATTCAACCCTTCCAGCAATTCTAAGGCCAACTAGCGTAGAAATATTTGACGATGATATTCATTTGCCAACTAAAACCAATTTGAAACACTGAAGTCCCTTAGCTTCCTAAGGTGTCTTTCCATGTCTTGCCTTGACTTCTTCCACTCCTCTTTCTCTATCACAGTGGTTGGATCATCTCTTTCCTCCTAAAAGTAACATGATGCTCGCTCATCAGAGATGGAAAGACAGCCACAATAATACAAAGATAAGCAAGAATTTGAGTTCATGATACTCACTGATGGTATAATTTTGAACGAGTTCCCATTATCACGGATGACAAGCAAATCATTCTTCCTGTCCCTGTTTCTTCCTCCAGGGACTGTCACCTATTTTTTTTAAAAACAAAATAACTTTTTAACATTAACAATAAAGAGAGCAACCAAAGGGTATAAATATTTGGGAAAGGCAAAACATGCAAGCTAGTCAAATCACAGGACTTCACGTGTTCATACTATATCCGAATGTTTCAATGCATAGGACAAGTTCAAGTTCAAATCAACCGTGCTTATAGCTTGTGTACTTGTTGGCACAGACATCCTCACACTATTGGTTTTGATTAACACAGATGTTCTTTAGATTCTATATCCGAATGGATAAGACAAATTCAAGTTCAAATCTTCCATTCCTATAGCTGGTCTACTACTTGACACAGATACTCAGAATTAGCAGTTGGAGTAAACGTAACAGTTTTATGTCCATCCATCGAGCAAACAAAAGCAGGAAGTGTGGAGTCCATTAGAAATATTACGGATAAAGGTAACTGTTGTTGTAGGGAATTCTTTCCCACCTGACTGTTCTACTGAAATCTTGAGGCGTTCTAAAGAAGCAGTACCGAGAAAGAGGATCAACATTCTCTAGTTTATCAAAGAATCTGTCCTTGTTTGTCGATACAAGGAAAGCAGCTCCAGATGAAAACATTATACCTTTTGGAAGCAGCTTTGATGGAAGAAATTCAAAACCTAGGAGCTCCTCCTAAAGTGCTCTATCGCACTCTGAAGACTATGCTTAGGCATCTAAGTCAT